GGGGGGGGGGGGGAGGGTGTTGAATCAACTCACTTTGCATTGTTGGAAGACTTGTTTGATGGTGGTAGTGGTGGTGCTGGTAGTTGAGCTGCTTCCACTTTGACAGCCGCCCTGGCCTCCCGCTCCCGACTGACTGATCACAGTCATGTTCGATTGCTTGCTCATATGATTCTTGAGTGACAGATTGGATGAGCTTTCGTTCTTGGATACAATTGGGTTATCATTTCCATATCCTAGATCGTAGGATGAGGATGGCACGGTCTTCTCTTGAGAGGCATGGGTAGATTTATTGAGGGCCGTGTCGGAGTTGCTAGAGTGGCTGCTTGAGGCATAGTAGTCCCGTTTGTGGAGATTTCCATTCCAGCCCGACCCGCCGCCAGCGCCGACGCTTGAGTTTCCGCCCATCGAGCCTCCCTGGGAGCCCCCATAATTCTGTGAAGTTCCAGAGACGTTATTGGCGCCGAATCCGCTGGGGTTTCCGGCGGAGCTACCAAGCCCACCGGAGCTTCCAACCAGACTGCCACCATAACCACCAGAGCTGGAAGAGTCACAGTCTGCACTGTGGGTTGAGCTAATCTCGGTGGTAAAGGTCTGCTCGATGGTGGTCATCTTCTCTGAAAATGTTTTCAAGTAAGTCTGGATTTCCTGTGCCGGTGCGCATTGTGCTGGGGCAATCTGACAACTGGTGACTTCCTTGGTGGCCGTCAGCTGAACGACCGAATACATCACCTTAGAAACACTAGCCTGGGTCTCATGGACAAGGCCGAAGGTGTTTTGCATGCCATTCTGCTGGCAGAGTGTTTGGAATTTGTCAAGGCGAGTGTAATAGGTGGACAGAGTACTCAAGGAGGTGGCAGAAAGCGTGACATAGCCCTTGCCTGATGGACAGCCACATAAATTAGCTGATCAGTTCCCCGCAGGCAAGAAATTCGGCAAAGTAATAAGGAAGCTACTGACTGTCGCAACCACCCGAGCCTTGGTCAGTGTCGGTGTGGGTGGTAGTAACGCTTGCAGTGTTCTGACTGAAGCTGGAGGAGCTGGACTGTGCGATGGATTGGATCTGGCTTGAGTAGGCACCCAAGCCCGGCAAAGAGCTCAACGGAGTGTTCAAGATCCCCTCCAACATCGAGTGCCAGTTGGAGCCATCCCCATTCCCAACAGCGCCCGAACCCGAGCCACCAAACCCAGAGGAATCTGAGCCAGAGCCGCCGTAGCTAGATGCATTCGAGCCTGAGCCTGCTGCGCCATAAGCTGTGGATCCAGAGCCGCCGGATCCGTAAGCACTCGAGCCAGCGCCGCCCGAGCCATATGCAGCGGAGCCTGACCCTCCGGAGCCTAAACCTCCGGAGCCGTAAGTACTCGAGCCAGCGCCGCCCGAGCCATAAGCAGCGGAGCCTGAACCTCCGGAACCGTAAGTACTCGAGCCAGCGCCGCCCGATCCATAAGCAGCCGAGCCTGATCCTCCGGCGCCGTAAGCATTCGAGCCAGCGTCCCCCGAGCCGTAAGCACCGGAGCCTGAGCCTCCGGAGCCGTAAGCATCCGAGCCAGTGCCACCCGAGCCATAAGCCGCGGAGCCTGACCCTCCCGAGCCGTAAGCAACGGATCCAGAGCTTCCGGTGCCGTAAGCACTTGAGCCTAAGCCCCCCGAGCCGTAAGCAGCGGAGTTGGAGCCGCCGGAGCCGTAAGCACCCGAGCCCGAACTTCCCGAGCCGGAGCCATAGCCAGCTCCGCTTCCCGACCCGTAATCGAATCCACCCGAAAGTTGTCTTCTGTCTTTCGGGCCAGCTGTGGCATGATCAATTAGAAGTAGAGGAGAGAGAATGATGGACAAGTAGACATAGTGCATCATGATTCTCCGCAGTCTGATTTGGAGTAACACAGACAAATCAAAGCGTGTATTCAAGAGGAGAGAAATTCAGATGCGACGATAGTATCAGATTCTTCCCAGTTGTCGTTCGCTATCTAGGATCATCAAGCGTGCTCTATAAGTTTCTAGCCTAGGTGGAGGGAAGTAAAGTTGCGGTTGAAGTATCGTAAGAATTGGAACAAAAGATTGTGTGATTCTGATGCACCGTGTCAAGTAAGTGGGAAAGTGTCCAATGCCGTTCAAAGCTGAGTGGAAATGACAGTTGTAGTGTCTACTAGTAATGCGGGTCTTTTTGGTCCCTGCTTGACAGAAAAAAGAAGGAAGAAAGGATGAAGAAGAAGTGGGAATGAAGTAAAATGATGAAGGGGATTGGGCTCAATCTTATATTGTGATTTCCCTCTTCGCCGTTGGGTGGGCAGCCTCCAGCGCCATCCCATGGTCATGTCGATGAAAAAAATTCAAACAAACATAGCTTGACGATCGAACCTGTGAACCAGGAGGAGAAGGCTCCGTCGAAACAAAGTCATCTTTGGTATCACCAATCCCGACGAGTGTGGGTATGACGCCGAAAGCAGATCGCTCGGCAGCGCAACTGGA